ACTCTTTCCTTATATTTCTTTATGTGGTTTTATGTGGGTTAATAGGTTCACATTTCATATGGTAGAGCATTTGAGATTAGAGTACTTGTGTTAATAGTTGCACCATCTGGAAAATTTGGTAATTGTTGCACTTGTATGAATCTTGTTGATATTAGACTCCATTTGTAAAATTAGTTTCTGTTGAGGGGAAGCATAACAAAAGCCTCCATTTATAAAATTAAATTCAGTGTTTTTGAGCAGGCATTTCTAGTTGTGAGGGGCGGATCTAAAATCATTGTTGTTATCAAAATTTTGTTGATATTACATTATCACAGCAGGGCCAATTTGTATAGCTGTTTTTAATTCTGCAATTTTAATGTTAATTTTGTTGTTCGGATATCAAAACCGGATGGATGGTGCATCTATTTGAAGCAGCTTGGATGAACCTTCTTTCAGGGCAACCACTGCCTTCTGTATTACGTTTGAGTATGGAAAACAATTTGTTGGGAGTTATGGGTTTGTTTTATGGGTTATGTTGGTAAAAGAATTTGTTGGATGGATAATGCAGCTCTTTGAAGCAGCTTGGATGGCCACATGTGGTTATGTTGTTTCATGTGGTTTTGCTTACATGAGGGTATCGGTAGAGACTTTTTTGCTGTCAAAGTGGGTTGCTACATATTCTAGCTTATATAAGGGTAATGTTAGAGACTTTAAGCTTATGTGAGACCTGTTCATTTCGGCATTACCTGGAGTAGCTTGGATGGCCAGTTAATTTGTAATGCATCACCTGTTGATTCACATTGTTTACCTGTACTTTTGTTCTTATGTTGTACTTGTTGATTCGCATTGCTTCGGCATACATGTTCATGGGTATGCTTTACATTGCTTCGGTTAAATGCATGGAATATGTAATTCATTGTTATTACAGCTTAGATGACCCTTCTTTTAGGGTAACCGTTGATTCAGCAACAGTATTTCATATGAATTATTTGACCCTTAAAATAAGCCTAAAAAATGAGTCTGCATGTTGCAATGAATTTATCTTCCATTTATTACTTTGTGTCTATTAATTTTATTGAGATAAATGTGGAGCTATTGAGATAAATGTGGAGCAGCTTGGATGATCAAAGAACTTTGTTGTCGGCAACCATTGCTTCCACACTTTGGTAAGTTGAGTTTCTTTATTCCCTTTAGTTTTTGACTGATCTACTCTTTTTATAATAATTGCAGGACGATGAGCTCGAGGTATTCAGACAATTCTTGGCAAGTGATGTGTCGATGCGGGCTACCGTCCTTGCTACTCGCGTCATGATAGACACATAGCTACGGGTGACAATTCTACAGGTGTCCGCGGTGGGGACACGGACCGGAAGACTGCAAATTCTTCAGGTGGACCGACAGTACAACTGTTTTCACGATATCCCAATTGGACACCTCTGCTCGGAGTTCAACAGTACATAACAGGAGAACACCGTATGTGGTTCGAGTGCTTCCATTTCTACGATATCCCAGTCGAACAGGTTTGTTCGGGGTTCTGAGGTATCAGAATAGGACAACATTCGTCGTGATATACTTTTACATTTTAAAGTCAATATTGACATTTTTTCCTTGTAATTTTAACATGTTATTTTTTTTTTTATCTCATTATAATTCATAGTGTGTGAATGTGTACTTCACTTTCGTATGTCACTGTGCTTATTTGATATAATCAGAACTTTTTGAGTTATATAAATGTAATTCAACTCTTTTGCATTTTTATGTCTTAATATTTGAGAAAATAATAAATTCTGTGTGACAGATTATTCATTTAACTAAAAAAATCTGCAAATAAGCTGTTTACAAAACGCACAAACCAAACAGCTAAACAACTTATCCAAAATAGGGGCAGAGTGGTCATTTATCCAGAATAAATTGTTTTCCAAACGCACAAACCAAACAGTCAGTCAGCTTATTCGGATCAGCTGCTCATCAACAGATTATCGGGATCAACTATTTATCAGCAGAAGCTGGATAAGCTGCAGCTGCCCCAAACAGACCCTAAGAGAGGAGTCAAATAAAATTTGGGATGGAAGAAAGTTTCGTTGCCATAGAGGAGAGATTCTCGTCTATGGAGAACTGACTGAATGATCGATTCGAGAGCATGAGAGAAATTCGAGAGATGCTAAAGAGGTTTATTGAGATGCAATCTAAGAAACCGCCGACAATTTTATTTGTAAACCCTAATCAAATGTTGACTAGACAATCCACGGTAAGATCGGCAGAAATAGTGATCGAATGTGAGGAACATGAGGAAAACATCCACCATCGCGAACCTCCTCTCAAGATTAAGGGTGGATTAGAGATTTCTAATAGAGACAGTTGGGCTGAAACATGGAGAAGGGATTATGTCTGAGGTATGAAGGAGCGTGAAGCAGAAGAAAGAGAAGCAGAGAGGGGATATGGCTACAATCGAAGGAAGGATTTTTACCCTCGATACATGGGACCCTTAATACATGAGGGGAAACAACAGAAGAAGAGGAAGTTGGGGCAGATATGTTAGAGACAGGAAGTTGAAGATGTGGATCTTTGAGGGGGGAAGACGTGCATGGGTGGGTGCATCAAGCTGAACAATACTTCGTGGTGAATGGGTTAGATGGGGAGGAGTAACTCATGACTGCAGAATTATATTTGAGGAAAAATCCTAAGCCTGGTTTCAGTGAAAGGAGGTCAGATATCGAATTCGTTCGTAGGATTAACTTAAGGACCGTTTGTTGGAACCTCTCTAGGCAATTCGAGAAGGAAACCTACTACACGAGTAATTCTATGTCTTGAATATAGGGAGAGATTTTAACTATTGTCGGAACTAGTGTAAGAGATTTTTGAAGCAGGACTGAAGGGAAATTTCATGAAATATGGGCAACACTCTGACTACTAAGAGAGCGGGAATTGAGGGAGATGATGGAGCTATTCTAGATGGTGAAAGACAAGAACCATATGAAGAAAGCCAATAGAAGAAACACAGATGAAGCATTGTACGAAACTGTTGCAACCACGATGATGTTAAAAGCTCAAACAGTAGAAATCCAGAGGGAAGTTGCGGAGGATAGGAATAAAGGACCACAACCTGGAGCAACACTCAAGTGCCTTACAAGGACAGAGATTTGAGCGAAGCGAGCCAATGAGTTATTTTTTCGGTATAATGAGAAGTTTACCCCAGGACACCATTGCAAGGATCAAAGATTACAAGTTCTCATAGTGCAGGACGAGGAAACAGAGAATGAAGAAATAGAGACAGATTTGGAGGAGGAACGCTCATTTTTTTGCACCTCGAGGATAATGTGCCTTTTGGAGGGAGAGTAATATTATGAGAGCACCTAGCCTAAGGGCAAATTTTTCTTTTGTACATCTAAGGGCAATTAAGTCTTTTGTTATTATTATTATTGGGTATAAATAGGCTTGATATGTCTAGGGTTAGACTTAAGCGTGAGATTGAGTTATGAAACGTAAGTCTAGTCTGGGAGAGAATTCATACATCTCGAATTGTAGGTGTTTATCTTTGTGTTATTGTTCCTTTGTTTGGATTATTATAATAAAAAATTGTGTTTGCCCTAATTTCTGTGGAGAGGCGGTTCGATTTTGACATCGGATCGTATTAGAGGAGCAGTAGGTTTTGGATCGGGCAAACTGAGAGAAAAAGGGCTTCGTTCACACCAAAGACCAAAAGGGAGAAGTGGCATGGGGGCTTCGGTTGCATGAATTATAACGTGCAGACAGTTTTTAGAAACCTAACCGAGCATTCATGCAGGAGCAGTTGTAGGTTTTAATCTTTTTAATATTTAGAGTTCAACAAACAAATATTATGAAGCATCACATTCTCATTGATCTCAAGTTAAACTTGTTACGGTCTACTCAGGAAACCTTTCTGATTTTTTTGCAAATATAACAGTAGATCTTCCGCATGTTTTAGAAATATAACAACATAACTTATTGAAGTTTTTGCAAATATGAAAGAAGTGCTAATAACATGAACAGAAAAAAAAAGGCTTCATTTTGCAGCATACCTCGGGTTGGCCTGCTAGGATTATTGTCCTAAACTTGAGAAGTGAAATGTTCAGATTTTGAAGGCGGATTTCTATATCAGAAATGGCTTCTTTAAGAGCTACAATTTTCTGGATTGTGTTCGAGGGTGGTTGATCACGTATTGTTACTTTGCCAAAAGATCTTCCCAATCTGCCTTGCTCTTTAAGGCCCTTCAACAGTAGCATAGTAGCGGAGCTGATAAGCAGCATCACAGGGAATACATAGGGTAGTAGGTTTCTACGAAAGAGTTGTAGAAAAAGCATGTATTAGAAGTTATGATTATGAAAAATAGTAAATGAATAGAAAAACATTGCATTACATACTTAACAGTGTTCAAAATGTGTTACATACTATAGTGTTCAAATGGGTACGGAAAAGTGGATTTGCAAGGAATGGATTTCAGAATCCTGTTCTCCATTCGAGTAAAAATTTAATAATGGAGACAATTACATACAGTTCACCCAATTCCAATGTATTTTGCATATAAAACACCTAAATTTTACTTTTTACATTTATGTCACCCAAATATTTCATGTCACATAAAAAATACTACTATTTTAACATTTAAAAAGTAAAATAGGTCTTTCATGCATAGGGAAGGTGGTATGTATGTAAAAATTGAAGTTTAGCTGTTAGATTTGTGAATACATAGGAATGGAATGGTATGCGTGTAAAGCTTACTAAATAATAATGCCTTGTCGAATCTGCGTAGATTTTAGCTGCAGAACAGTTCCACTATTCTATCAATGTTTCGGCAAAAGGCAACAGTACTGGTACTACATGTATACAACAACAAATCTTTATCCCTCTAAGTGGGGTCCACTACATGAATCTTTTTTCTCCATTGTGTCCTATTGAACGTCATATTTTCCTTTAATACTAATAAATTAAGATCATTTTTTTATCCAACTTTTCATTTAACTCTAATAAATTAAGATCATTTTTTTATCCAATTTTTATACAAATGGCCCAAGTCTTTCTAGATCTATCTCTACCTTTCTTAACATAATTTGAATCTAAAACATCTACTCTCCTAATCGAATCATCAGATGTCAATGTTTAATATGACCAAAACCATCTAAGACAACTCTCTTTAATCTTGCTTACCACTAGAACTACACCAACCATGTCGCGAACAAATTCATTTCGGCATTTTGTCTCTAAGTGTAAAGCCACTCATCCACCTGAGTATTCTCATCTCAATAGCACTTAATTTAGTTTTATGTGTCTCTTTTATAGGCCAGCATTCTGTGTATTTAGTTTTATGTGTCTCTTTTATAGGCCAGCATTTTGTGTCAAAAAGCTTGTAGTTCTCACCACCATCTTTTAAAATTTTCCTTCAAGTCTAAGGAGTACTTTTTCATCACGTTCTATCACAAAATAGGCCCGATGCATTCCTCCACTTCAACCATCCAACTTGAATTTTAATAATAACATCCCCATCTATATCACCATACTTTGAACAATAGACCCGAGATATCTAAAATGTTCACTCCTTTATTGATTTGATCACCCACTATTACAACTTCCCCACTAGATCTACTACCACTGGTACATGTATCCACAGCTAAAATAAATACTATAATTCAACCAAAACCAACAGATTTTTTATGTTTGGAAAGAAAGGTTAAATATATTAACGCACCAAAAAATTATAAATATCCAGTCCTGGTCTAAAAAAGATCATAACAAAACATAATTCGATAAAAATGTACTAAAATTCATTGGGCTGACAAAATACACGGTAATTGTTTTCTGCTCCTCATGAAAGATTGATGAGTTTAACACAAAAAATTCAAAACATGAATTCCAGCCTAACTTTGCAATTAAGCCAGTTTAATGTAAGATACCAAGGCAGCTGTAGCTTACCTAAATATAACGGCATAGGCAAACACAAGGAAAGCTGAAGTCCAAATTGGCTTCTCCCAGCGCCTAAGTTTGTCTAACTTTTGGGCAAGAATGGTGCAAGGAAGCGCAAGTTCCTGAAGCACAAAAGAGAACTCCTCACTGACTGAAAAATTATAAAGGAAGCGCAAGTTCCTGAAGCACAAAAGAGAACTCACTGACTGAAGAAAAATTATAACAGTTGTAAAAGATTTAAATTTGAATGTATTTTTGTTTGAATAAGATATCTATGGCTCTTTTATGATTTGGAAGACTCCTGAATAGTTATGCAAAATTTTGTTTAGGAAAGAAAAATGTTTCATTAGGAATTACTGTGTCAGTCCAGCCACTCCCGCCTAGATATTCCAAACTTTACAGTCTGAGTCATGACATCAAAGCCATTCACCCAACTTAAACAACATGATAACATCTACATTTAATCAGCTCATAATAGAAAAAAAAAAGAAAGAGGGAATCTAACAACAGATAATACTATCACTCTTCTTTAAAAATTGAGCAATGAGAACAACTAATCATCATCATTATCCTTCTAGTAATTCACTGTAGTCAGCTTTATAAAAAGCATTTGAATCTCAAAAAAAAATTGAAAATAGGTTTTATTAAAAGGCCATGAAACCTCTATCATCACCATCATACCGATTATTTATTTAAGGCCGTTATTAAATTTTGATTCGCATTGCAACTCATGATTCTTCATAAATTAACAACCTTCACTCTTCTAAAAGCCATCTAGAATTATAGTAAAGCAAGCAAACTCCAAAGAATTTTTTAACAAATAGCTGCTAAATTCTTGTATACCGTGATATAAAAGAAAAGAGCACCTTGAAAAGGTCAATATTGCTAGGAATTCCTTTAATCATAGCAGCATCCAGTGTGGCCTGAGTTTTCTCCACTTTATAACTTTTCTCTTTGCATGTCAATGCTGCTCGTTCTACAAGGTTTAGATCAGAAACAACAAGATTCTTAGCTAGCATAATCCCATGTTTAACCGATGAGTTCTTCCAGAAGGCAACAGAGGAGCTAGACGTCCAACTTGAAGATTTCATCCATTTGCGCAGATATACACTTCCATCAAGATCAAATACATGTTCGCTGCCACTGGAAAAATCTTCAGAAGGCCTCGACCATTGTACTACTCCATGACCCGTTTGCTCAAACTTCTTTATCAAAGGCCCACCCCAAAAATTAACCGCTAAAGTCTGGAGAACAATATCACCACCAGGGGCATTTTTTAAATATGAGAATTGCGCTAATTTAGTTGGATCCTCTGATAGCCTTTGAATACTCTGCAAAGACTGTAGCCTTGCGATGCTGTTTGCTGCACTACTGATTGCTCTTCTTCTCCCTCTATGAGCACCGTATACATGATGGATTGAAGCATCTTCATCATCGGGTCCATATTCCCGTATAAATTCGTATAGTGAGATAACTTCACTAATGCAAGAATGCCAAACATCTCTTCTTGATTCACCACCAAAATCAACGAATTCCAGAATCCAAGTTTCTTGCCTAATCAAACTCAAAGTTAGATCAATAATTTTAGTATGTAGATTAAAAAGTTAAATATATGGCCTAAGATTGATTCATGCATAATCATGATAGAAATGTTCGAGAAACTAGTATTTTTTAAGGAGCTCAGTGATGAACTAGGATGCCAAAAAAGGAATTGATACAGTTTCAGATGAAAATAACAGTAACTGTTAAAATAAGTTTTATTAAATTTACCTGTCACCAGAAGAAACAGAGACAGCAGAGTCAAGTAGTTTGGAACCAAATGGTCCTACTTTTACTTTCTCAACTCTTGAACCTTGACTTGAAAGATTAAGTTTAATAGGTTCTTTAAAACCTTTAAATTGAATTCCCTGACAACATCAATGCAGAGTGAAAGATAAATCATAAATACAATTGGAAGAAGTATTATGCAGAATTTCAATAAAACATAAATCAACAAAAATGTTGAACCACGCTGTCATAGCTAAATGAGAATAGGATAAACATCCACATATTCTTCATCTGACATAATCATCATCATCATAGTTAGCTTATCTCAACTATTTGGGGGTGTTATGAATCTTCATTTTCTATTCATTTCTACTGAGAATTGTATTAGGTGTTTTCTCTTGCAATCATAGCACTAGACATATTTCACAACATGCCTTTTTAAAAGGAAAATATTCTGATGAAGGTTTCCTCAATCATCATATGATGTACCTTGCATGGAACATTCTTTCCAAGGTTTGGCAAACAGAATTCTTCTGTTTGATATTTTAGACAGCATTCTTTTCTCTTTATATGGCTCCACACATGGATAATTCATGATTGATTGCGATTAATGTTAAATGAATGGTATGTGTTTTTGTGGGTGCAAAATTCATCGTCATGTCTTCATGCAGCTACACTAAATATATATGTAGACCTTATTCTACCATTCGGAAGTTATATCATACTGAATTTTAGGAGTATACTTGTACGTTTTGATGAGACAGAAGAATGCAATACAAGCTCTCAGAAAGAGAAAAAAAAAAAAAGTGAAAGCAGTTAAAGTATTGAGAAGAATTGAAAAAAAATATAACATGATTAGAAGCATTATTACTGTGTAAAATAGATAATGGGCGTATGCACTGTATGAGGCTTCTATTATTTGGTCCAAGGAAATGTTAATACTTAATACATGTAACCTTTCCTACTTCCGCAGTTACTAATTTCAATAAGTGACCTCCATCCAGTCACAAGGCCAAACTACGTGTGTGTTTGTTTGAGCTTTTAAAACTAGCTTTTTCTCCAAACGGCGTTAATATTTCGTTTGGTTCGCGAGTTTCATCAATTCGGTCTGAAACGGGGTTTTAAATTGTTGTACACAATTGCGAACGCAGATTCCCGTTATGCCCTCGCTCCGAGCTTCCTTCCTCCCACGTGCTCTAGGCGTTCCCACAGATTGCCTCACCTTCTCCTGCTCTCACGCCCTAGCGGCCGATCTCGCCACCCCTTCTTCTTCTATGCTCGTCTGGTAACATCTCCAACACTTCTATCCCCATGTCAATATCTTCCCTTATTCTTCTCCTGAGTTGTTCACACAGGATTTGGAACTCAGTTTTCTTTTTTATGGAATTATGCCATGAGTTTTTTTAAAGGCAAAGTTTGCTATGAGATTATTATGTTGTGTTGTTGAATTATTTTAACATCTGTTGGGATTTGGAACTCAGTTATTCATACTTATTTTGCCATTTGGAATTATGTTGTAAGATTCTTCTATTGTGTAGTTGAAGTTAGCTATCTCCCTCTCCTTTTTGTGTGCGAGTCAAAGAAATATACAGCTAACCCAAATCTGGGTTCAGGATTCTACAAACCTTGTATGCTAGATATTTGAGTTGATATTGTGGAATCCAAACCCAAATCCACTTGGAATCTCAATTATTTAAGGATATGGATGAAAATTTGAAGATGCATAA